CTGATCATAGCCAGGGGAAGTGCTTCCCAATCAACTACTAAGCCTGTTGCAGTCTGTTGGTAAGTAACAGGGAACAACTCTGTCTCGGATAGTTCAGAAACGCTTAAATCACCATTGTTTAAAGCCTTTTGAAAAGCACCACGGATGATTCTGGGCCGGGAGAGAGGCGGCAACGTGGCAGGAACAGGAGAGGCTGTTTGCTGTTTATCAGGATCCATAAAATTTGCAGGGGCAGAAGGAGGGTTAAAACCTGCTCCAGGGGGCAAGGGAGTGGCTAACATAACAGACGGACTTTTATACGGTGGAGGATCTAATAAAGGCTGATGAGGCGAGTCAGCATGGGTTTGAATCAGGGTATAGGCAATTTTCCAAAGGCACAAAATCTCGGGGGGGGGGGGCTCTTGGAGACTGATGGAGAACAGCGCCGATTTTCCTCCATGTATCTACTTTTAAAGATCCAGACTCCGGATAGGATGAGCAGTTAGCCCATACGTAAGCAAGCAATTTAACAGCCTCAGATTTAGAAAGGTGACGGGTTAATTTCTGTTCCTGATCAGTAAGATATTTTTTCCTGCCAAGTAGCCTCAGCTCTTCCACATGCTGCTTTTGAGCGTGAGACATTCCACCCCCCATACTTACGAAGAGGAGTCAGTTGCCAGCAAGTTCGTCTGGTGCACCAAGCCTATTCCAGGAGATAAGTAAAGGGTCGGCAGGGACGTATCCCTCAGTGGATCACGTCGGGGTCACCAGATGAGGTGGTCTCCCATGGAGAATGAGACACGCACGCAGCAGGTATCTTGGGATGGGAGCCCAGAGCTGACTCCAGCACCCTCTTTTATTGTTACTAAGGTTTTTACATCACACAGCGTAATCAAAAGACGTATATAGGGGTGGTTACAATATATCAAATAACAGACACTCTCCAGATGCAAGGCTAGCAGGTGTTCTTATCAGAGTCTGTCCAAATGGTTGATGAATGCATCCTGTGTCTAGAGCGGTCCGTTTGTTATCTCTGGGGCCCTTGTGGGAGATGCCCATGGACATTTGTGCAATTAATCCCACACTGACCAGACTTAAAATTATATTTTGATGTTTGTTGCATGGTTTGGATGAAGGGAATAGGATATTTTGAAGAATAAGAGGTTAATAGATTTGGAGAGCTATGATTTGTTTGGCATGACTATTTGTGATATGATAAAACTAAGCGAATATAATTTTTAGGTACCAGTATCTTTTTTAGCCATGCCATTCTAAGAGTTTGGATTAAATATAAAACAGGGCTTTCTTAAGTTTCTTAAAGTTGAAAGAAGAATTGAAGTTGGAAGGGCATATGTGTCATTGGTTCACATTTTTACAATTAAAAGATTTAACTACATAAGAAAAGTCACGGTTTTGACTATAAACAAATGAATTTGAAATCGCATTGTGTGCTAATGAAGAACATATATTTGCTAAGATTTATAGACTGTTGTAAAAACTGAATTTTGAAAATGAGTATGTTAAAGACTGTATTGTCCAATGGGCAAAGAATTGTGGTTGTAATGATTGACCAATGGGAAAACATGTGGACTAATGGATTGAAATTGACACTGAATTATAATCTAAAAGACAACTTTTATAAGATGCTGTATCATTGGTATTTAATGCCTATGAAATTGTCAAAAATGTGTGCATTTCCTTTTCTTATTTTTCTAACTTTTGTTTCTTCTATATATTTTTCTTATAATGAAACTTAATAAAAAGTTAAAAAAGTATACTTACTGAAAAAAGATTACAAAGTATGGCAGTCATACTGGAATACTGATGCAATAGAAGCAAGGAGGCAAGGTCTCGATTCTGTAGCTAAGCACACGTGCAATGTTAAGCTAGATGTTGGTTGGCTTTGACTTACATGTTGTATGAGCCAGCTAATTGTAGTTTATTTTTAGTAAACTAAAGTTCAATAAGCCATTGTTTGGTATTATCTATAAATCCAGTCTTTACTTAAATTTTAATCATGCTTTATTGAAATCCGTGGAGTCGTCACAGTTTGAAATGACTACTTAAGGTACTATACATGTTTTTAAGAAACAATCCTGCTATAAAACAGAATACTGAATACTTACTATTGCATTTCAACTGGAAGATGTTCCTTTAGAGCAGGGGTGTCAAAGTGGTGGCCTGCAGGCTGGATGCGTTATTGCAGGCCACGCCAACCCCAGCTCTGCAAAGGCAAAAAACGTTGATACGCCGCAATATGTCACATGACACGATCGAGTTTGACACCCGTGCTTTAGAGTATCTCTAATGAGCTTAGAAGAAACACAGTATAATGAACCTGAAGAGGAACAGTGAAATATCATTTAGCCTTGGGTTGACATGACTTTTTGCAGCAGCTCTTTAATGGGTGGTTTCGCACTCTGCATAAAGCCTGAGTAAACTAGAGTTGATTGGACTCATATTATATGCTAACCCACAAACCTGGTGTATAAACTGGAGCATCTACTTCTTATAATATATGTATCTATTAATTAGTAGGATTTACAGATTGCTGCAGTTAGAATTGACTCTGATATTAATTCCAAGCCAAACAAATTGCATTATAACTTACGACGATCTATGAAGCGCTTTAGAAGAAAGGATCTGCTATAGCTGGAAAAAAATGCCTTGCAAGCTCTTCCTTCCCAATGACACACCAGATGATACTGATGCAGTTGTGCAGGTAACAACACAAATGTATAGTCCAATTGTGTGTGAATGAAAGAGAATAGGAGACAAAAGAGAGATATCCATAGATGAGAGAGGTTTTCTTGGAACTGGCTGGAGTGACACATTGAAGTTTCTTATCAAGAGAGCTAGAAGTTTTTTTTTTTTTTTTGAGTTTCAGAGCTACAACAGTTACGTGTGTGCTGAAGATTCAACAATTGCATCAAATAAAGATATAACAGTAGTAAGGGCACAAAAAGGTCCAACCAGGACCAAGAATACTCAGGGAAGGAAGTCTCATTAATGGACTTGGTGTGGTTAGCCAGAAGCTGTTCAATAGGAGAAACCTAGGGAAAAATTTTAGTAGGTAAGTAAGTCAATCAATCACAAAGCTACTGTGTGGGAATTGTGTGGCCTACTAAGAGACCCCTGTAGCAAGATATCCAGTGGCAATTGCCTATTGAAGAAGCCATGGTGGTGGTGATTCTTTATTCCTGTGGCTCCTTGTAACTGGAATAAAAGCATCTTCTCTAACTGAGCCTTTACCTTGATTCTTTGTGTTGCTAGCTTTAGAACACAGGTTTGAGTTTCCAGAAATAGATTTATTGCTAAATCCTAGGTAAACCCATAAGAGATTGAGACTTAATTTTCATAAGATCCTGAAAAAGTATATCCCAACAGATTCTGGAGTGCCATCAAGGACATAGATAATTCTCCTAATAAAAGGGAACCAGCCACAGATCAATTTACTACACATATTCAGCAACAATCTGTCATGAGGAGTGTGCAGGGAGGAAGACAAGCTGACATATGACATAATGACCATCAATTATTTAAAATGGTGAAACCTAGAGAAGTCAATGAATCATTAAATAATCTTTTAGCAGCCAAGACAATTTAGAATATCAGATGTCTTTTTCAAAGACATCAAAAGGTTGAAAGCAATATAGAAAAAGACAAAAGGTAGACAATTAAAAGTTTTAACATCTTTCCTAAAAAGAAAGAAATTTTGTTTATTGAGAAAAAGACTTAATAGAAATTATTACAAATATTTTTTACCTGTATTACAAGATATTTTAAACATATAAAAATTCTTCACCAGCTTTAGAAGACACTCTTTATAGAAAACTCTTGCCTTTCTGTAGTATTTTGGTTCTCATGCTTAATTTTAGATGGTTGACCTAATATGATCCTTTTTTTTTACAAAACTTTTGTAAGTCTTTTGGTGGGGATGGGAAACATATTTGTGTTTGTTCTTTTATTTTTCATTTGCAGACATCACATGTTATTTTAATTTGCATATTTGAGTTAAATATGTGATCAATTGGTCTATAATCCAATGACAATAGATTAATACTAGAATTCAAATTGACGTATTAAAAACCAGTTTCAGTCACATTTTTAGAATTTGCCATCAAAAGATACAGTGATAGGAACTACCCAATGAAATGACATGGATATATCTGGCATTTCCAGGAACTGTGTATGTTATTCGGTTTTTAAAAGTGCCTTTCAAAAGAGCTGCAAGAAGGAGATATAGCATTTATTAATACATATGAAATTTTTTATATCTGTTTTTAAAAAGTATGGTGGCCTACAGTAAAAGACTTGTGAGTGAAATTTCTGTATTCAGAAGCAGAGTATCCTGCCTAATTATACTATTTGTCACCTGGAAGTATTAACTACCTGACCTTAGATTATAATGCCATCTGGGCCCTGTAGGACTATTTTGTAAGCATCTGCTTACAATTTTAATCATACTACATTTACTTTTCAGGAAACCAAAATGGATTAAAGCAATGCCAAGTAAAAGTTGTAGCACCAGTTGACTCAAATCAAGTTTGGAACCTCCAAGGTAAAATTGTATGAAGCATCTTGGCATTAGGGTGGGGGTGAGGGGTAGCATACAGGTTAGACCAGTTACACTAGCTTGTTCCCATGGAAAATGCCTGGAGAGGTTTTTTCTTTTTTTTTTTAAAGGAACAGTACCGGTAGTTTCAAACAATCTGAAAAGGCTTTCCAATTTGGGGCCTGTGAGGTATTTTCCAATACCGTACGTCTAATTCAGGGTGTCCTGCAGTCTCTCAATATCATGGAATTTGGTTCAAGTATTCTCAGTGATAAATCCACAAGAGAGAAGGCAAAGGAAGGGAGCAACGATTTCTTGAGCAAGAAGAAACAAGACAGAAACTTTAAGGGCGCCCAAAGGAGCTCTTACTACTGTATATGAATGCTATTCCTAACAGTCAAGGCACTCTGCTACCGATCCGAGCGCTTCCGTTTCATTTAATTCTCCCCCGCTCTTTGCCATTTACTCCCTTTTCCCGCCCACACCCCTTGGAAGCTCGGCCCTCCTTCTCCTCCCTAGGCAACCTGAAGGGGCGGATCCAGTAGCCGCAGTACCTGGGCCAGGTGAGCGAGCTGTATTGCACAGCAAGGGTGGGATCCTGGTCGAAGAGCGGTAAGTTTTGCCGGAGCGGGGGGAAACTCGGCAGGGAAGCCCTGGAAGCCCGGGTCGCTGTAGATTCCTCTTTACAATCCAAATAACACTTCCGCTCCTGAACTGCTGGAGCTTCGGGCTCTTACGAGCCTTTTCTCCCCGCGTGTTTTTTACTCGCGCCCCTTTCTCGCCTTACGCTCTTCTCCCCCTCGCCGGACGGTTAGCTTTCCCCAATTCTTCCCTTCCCAGCTAAGCACCTCGCTTGGGTTCTCTCATGTTCATTTTGCGCTTGAGTAGTTCCGCTCGTCCTTGTCCTCTCGTTTTCTGAAGGAGTCTGACGTTGCGTCTCCCTTAGGATCTTGCTACAAAAGACTTCCTACGTTGCCCCTCTGCCTTTTGGGTTCGTGGGAAAACCCGAAAAAAGCGTTTTTCCTAAAAGAGGCCTCTGCCCGAGGGCAATTTCAGCGAGTTCTTGCCCAGAGTTGACTGCGGGCGTGTTCGACACTTGTCGATTATTTACTTCTGGATGTAAACACCCTCCAATCTTTCAAAGCAGCTGAGAGCAGGTACAACTGTTGCCTGGCTTTGATACTAGCTAATATCCTTAGAAGTTCAAATTCGGTTAGAGAACATCAAAACCTTCCTTAATTTGCAAATTATCTGCATATGGTGATTTAGCAGTGGTTTAAACATCTCAGTTATTTGATCATAGTGAAATGAAGTACCTAGGGTGGATTTATTCAGCCTAATATTCCCTCAGAGAAGGTGTACATGTGGTATTGTGACATATTGTAGGCCATATACTTGGGGAAAATTTATCCACAATATTCATTAAAATTGAGACCTAGAAGAATCCCAATCTCAACCAAGTTGATGTACAATTATATTTAAGCAAACCTTAATATGAAATGAAAAGGTTGAGTAAATGCATGGTGATGACTGCCTTAAGTACACAAACCAGTTTTAAAAATGAGATCAGATCTTTGAAACATTTCCTACAAAGCAATACAAAAGCTGTAACCTTTTATATTTTAAGCATCTTTTCTAGAACAGCATAACTACCCTTGGTAGTGTTTTACTAGTTTGGATATCTGAAATTAAATTCTGAAATCAACATGTATGTAGAACTTTTTTTTAAAAAAAATACAGCATTATACACCATGTATGTTTGTATGTAAGTAATGCATAGAGATGCGGATTATTATTGCAGATGAATTCATAGATAACATATATCAACAAAGGCTTGTGGGTTTGTTGTTTTTGCTGACCTTGTGAACAAGGTTGTGATTGTCTTCTCTCACAGATCTCACAGTTGCTGGATTTTATGCCTGCTGCTTCAAGCATTTTATCTTTATCAAGGTGAAGAGCAATAGTAAATTATTGATATCTTGTTGCCTACACTATTTGTAAATGTTAGTATTTTCATAATGCAGTGTAAAAATAGTGTTAGAATAAGATTTTGAGCCTGAGCTTCAAGAATCGGGAATCTTAGTGTATTACATTTTAATTTGGCCAACACCATTATACTCTATGTCTATTTGAAAGTCTACCTGGATAACTTTCAGTTCTTCTGTAAAGCCAGAAAGGAAAACAAGGAAAACAAGGTAAAAGGAAAACAAGTTCTGTTGCTAAGATCTATGCTGTAATTTTTCTGGAGATCAGTCATAGAATGATATCAGAGCAGTTGTGATGGAAGAGGTGGGAATTCTGTCTAAGTTTTCCTAATTTGGTTATGTCTGTACTAGGCTGAAAAGTTGACGCTGGCGTGTTTTTGCATATTTGCTTATTGTACTTCCTTTACTCTCTTGAGGAAGTTTTCCTTTTTTTAATTTAAAGGGCAGAGCTATGGAGTAGTAAAGATAAATGTACTATTATATATATATGTAGCTATTATATATTACATTTCAATGTAATAGTAGAAATCCTCTTTTAATATAAAAACAATTTGTATTATAGGTTTTACAAGAAGTGAAATATAGTCTAATATTAATGAAGAGGATTATAGATATTAATGTGAAAGTTACATTCAGTATTTATTTCCATTCTGCTTATCAGTATTGCTTTAGTTTTTTCTTATCTTGTCTATAGTTTTAAAGATGGGTATTTCAGGTATTTATTTCTTTTATCCAGCTTTTATTGCTTCTCATGCTGACATCTGCATGCGGAACTTAGAATAATCATTCTGTGTATAGCCATGTTGTATTTATTGATTGAATCTAAACTTTTCTAATTTTGCTTTAATAAAGCAAGGTTATAGTCAAAAACCATAAACAGTTTGAAATGCATAGGTTTTATTTTCTTCACTATATTTTCTTGTTCTTCCTAACTTGTCCCTTCCAGTTATTAACTTCATCCCATCTTTGCAGTATTATGTGCCTGTGTACTGATTTGTAATATCATTCTTGATATAGGTTCAAAACCTCTACTGTGCCTAGACCACAGGTCGGCAACCTGCGGCTCCGGAGCCGCATGCAGCTCTTTGAGCCTTCCCCTGTGGCTCCCAGCCTCCTCTGCCTTTGCAGAAAGAGACAGAGACAGAGAGAGGCAATTGCGCTTCCCTGCTTCTCTCTCTCTCTCTCTCTGTGTGTGTTTTTGTGTGTGTGTGTGTATCTGTGTGTATGTGTAAAAGAGAGTGCACTCACAGTATTTTCCGAGGAGCTGAAAAGCTTACTGGGCGGAGCTCCTCCCTTTGCTGCATCTCTGCAGGAAGCAGGAAGCAGGAAGGGCAGGAGAGAGCTAGTTAGCCCAGCTAGGCTGACTCAGGAATTCTGGGAGTTGAAGTCCATGAGTCATAAAAGAGACGAGGTTGCTTGTTGGACAACAGCTTGAAGCTTGCCAGGTGAGCAGCAGATAGGAGGGGGGGGGGAAAGAGAGAGAGAGAAAGAGAGAGGGAGGGAGGAAGAGAGAGAGAGGAAAGAGAGAGAGAGAAAGAAAGAGAGCGGGGGAAGAGGAGTGGCAGACCAAGGGCAGATAGAGAGGGAGGGAGAGAGAGACAGAGAGAGAGACCCTTTTGACATCTAAAATGAAGATAACACTGCATATATCCTTTTTTTATCTGTGTGTGTATGTGTGTGTGTGTGTGTGTGTGTATACACATACATATATACATATACATATACACACACACACACATACATACATACACCTATAATAAAGGTAAAAAAGGATATATGCAGTGTTATCTTCATTTTAGATATCAAAAGGGTTTTGTGGCTCCCAGTGTTTTGTTTTTGGTGGGAAACGGGTCCAAGTGGCTCTTTAAGTGTTTTGGGTTGCCTACCCCTGGCCTAGACTAAACACAGCTACATTCCAAAACTTGATTTTTAAACTGCAATTGTTGAATAATCTATAATAATTACAGTTAAATACTCTATTGTGATGTAGTACAGTGTGAAAACAGCAATATAGATGGGTGAATCACAAGAACAATATATGACAGAAACTTTCAAATACCTGACTTCTTTTCAACACAAACTGCTTCAAAAGAGGGAAAAAATATGAGAAACAACCCTAGTAAACTAGCTTGGTTTTTAAATACTATTTAACCTGGGGAAGAGTATACTGTATCTGGTTATACTCTAGAGTGATGCATATTGTTGAACTACATCATTGTACTGTCTTATGATTATATGAAGGAGACCTGGAAACAGGACCACATAATTGATATACCTATGATTTCATAATATGTCATGAAATCTTTTTATACATCGTTAAATACTGCAAACTGGATGGCAGCACTTTCCTAATCTTTAAAAAACTTTAAAAAACTACACAGGGTCAGACATGGTTAGTATTTGGCAAAGACCACCAGGAATTTCCAGGTTAGATTGGAAAGATTAAAAAAAAAAAAACTCCCAGATGAATGCAAACCACATCTTTACTGCTGCCAAGAAACATACATTGATGTGCACTGGTCCATTAGGTGTTGAATACAATTCAGAGGAGACTTTACTTAAGGCTCTGGAAACTGAATACTTTGAAGGTCAAAGAAGCAAGCAGGCATGTACAACATAATCATTGTGTGCAGAATTCTATGTCTAAGTTATGATCTGAGACATCTGTATTATTCTGCAGGGTTTTTGCTTTTAAAAGCAAAAATTAAAAGTGTTTTGTGCAAATCCCTCTCCTTTTCTAGATAGCTGTAACCCATTGCTAACTATTTGGTTCCAGAGATTCTTAACCAAAAATGCTCTTAAATTTCCAAGAAATGTCAAATCTCAAAATTTGTGCAAATATATTTTATTTGATTAAAAGAGAAATTCATGGGAGGAAAACAAGATTCCTCTTTCTTCCCAAAAAGAATGGCTAATGTGATCCAGAAACTTCAAATGCTTTCCATGCAGCTATCAATAGGACAAAGCTCAGCCCCGTCTCCCTTTAAGCAATTTTGGCTGTTTTTTACATTCTTGATTTCAAAGGAAAGAGCCTTTAATCCATACATTAGATTAATGGAATGATCCATTTTTAGATTAAGTGCACAGAAATATTGCTACATTATTATTGCCTTATTGATCAACTGTAGAGTTTGTTGTTGTTAGTTGCAAAGTCGTGTCCGACCCATCGCGATCCCATGGACAACGTTCCTCCAGGCCTTCCTATCCTCTACCATCTTCTGGAGTCCATTTAAGATCACACCTACTGCTTCAGTGATTCCATCCAGCCACCTCATTCTCTGTCATCCCATTCTTCTATTGCCCTCAATCTTTCAACTGTAGAGTAGCATTCTTCAACTTGACAAACCTCAGGTATATGTTGGATCAGAAATCTTAAGCATGGCTATAGTGGTCCATAGTAAGAACTGTTGTCCATTAAGGGAAAAGAAGACTAGAAAATATAGTTGCTGAAGCATTTCTTTTTGCTATGTTGGTCATTATATATATAGTTCTGATAAAAGGCATATATGTTGCTTGAAACCTGTTTTAAGGTCGAGGCCATTGATAGCAAAAACTGTAAAAAGGAAGAGGTCACCAGT